TTTTTTTTTTTTTTTTTTTTCCAGGAATCCCACCTTAATTGCCATCCATTATTTCTATTTTTAAAAAGCTGTAGAATTAATACTTTAGTTAAGTACTTTGTTTTGTTTTGAACTGGAATTTTGCAATATATTATGTGTAAAATCAGAGCAATAACTTTTAAAAATAAAATATCTCTTTCAGGTGGAAGCCCTTAATAAAATGAAGACTTTAAATAATCTAATTAAGCTGAACCCCATGAAGCAAAGCAAAGCGAAAGGAAAAGATGCAATGCATACTTGTTTGAAACAAAATTCTTACAGAGAAGCGCTTTCTGACCTCCAGTCTCCTCTGAATCCTTCTGTTATTCTTTCAGAACTGCAGTAAGTTACGAAATGAGCGACTAAAATTTCACTGCAGCTTTTGCACGGAAACAGCGCAGCAGAAGCGCACGTGTGCTGTGGCTGCCTGTGCCTGCACTGTTCGGCAGCTCTGCTGTCCCAGGAACCTTCTCTGTAGTGAGAGGAGGTCTGTTGGGAATCTTCCTAAGGTTCGGATATCAGTTAAGTTAGAAGGTTTTTGTGATCCACCATGAAACTTAGTACTCTCTTATTCAATGTATTGTCATAGCTAAATGTATTTAAATATAAACCTAAAAGTGAATTAGACTGCATTTCCTGGCTTCTGTTTGTAAGAATAAGTACAAAAGCTGTTAAAATGTTTAACAGCACTTAAATATAAAGTTTAAAAATTGATGGGAAAGGATAGAAAGAAAACTATTTTCTCCAAGAGTGAGGGTGTTTAATGTAAGCATTAGATAGGTGTGTGCCAATCATGGTGTCCAATACCTTCCATCTATAACAGATGTGTTCATAACACTGGGAAGTGCCCATAGCATCGTAGCAAAAATAAAAGCAGAGTTAATGCTTAATTACTTCCAAACTGGAAGTCTGTGTGTTCTCTTGTGTCTTGAACAATGTTTAGACGTTTTCAGTTGAATTATTCTTATTTGACTAAAAGACTTTGTTGCGTTATCTTTTAGTGTTGAGAAGTGTAGATATATGGATTCTAAAATGAAGCCTCTGTGGATAGTATACAACAACAAAATGTTTGGAGGAGATCTTGTAGGGATCATCTTCAAAAACGGTGATGGTAAGCAATGATAAAAATTTTAAATTTTCCCTTTTCCTTCTTCATTCCCACACTCCCATTTCAGCTGTGTTGCTCGGTGTTGCCATCATGTAACATGGTTTCCTCTAGCAGCGGTAAATAAATTAAGCATCTTCTGACTGGGTTTCAAAGTATAAACGTTAGTCATGATGATATAATTATGGTCAATCCCTTAATGAGTATTTTTAGATACCTTTTTCTGAAGGCCTTATAAGCATTTGAAAGTTTGACTACAACGCACGGAGAGACTGAAGGTTTCAACCTTTCGTTACAGATCTCCGACAGGACATGTTGACACTCCAGATTTTGCGTTTGATGGACATACTTTGGAAAGAAGCTGGTCTGGATCTCCGGTAAGGATCTCTTGAGGGCTTGTTTATTTGGATGGAGAGTCCACTTTCTTATTTCTCTTGGTCTTATTTCTTAAGGCCATCTGTGGTTTGTACAGCCATGGCCACAAATGACTCTATTACTGTCCAAATAAATTTTATACTTGCAATCTATTTCCTACAAAATTTAAGGGAGGGATGTCATCCTTTAGTAACTGCATAACAGGCTTCATGAAGATGAGGGTCTTGGGAGAAGAGAAGTTGGTTGCTTGT